ACTGGATTCCCACATAGTCGACCGCTGTTCGCGTCCCGGACCCGGTGGCTTAAAACTTACGCCGGGCGCATGTGCGTGCATGCCCAAGATCCTGCGAGGAGAATGGAGGAGAAGGGATTGTGGCGTGACCATCCCCCCTGGGGGGTGATTTCTCGCTTTCTGTCTCTATGTCTCTCTCTGTCTGGCGAGCACACGCGCCCTGCAGTGAAAACCTCTTAAAAAAAAAATTATTGGAACTTGAATGTGTTACCACACCCTTGCACCATCAGACTTCTACTTGTTTTGCTCTCTTCAAAACTCCTTCTGTGGTATAATATTTTAAAAAGCAAATAATGAAAACTGTGTGGTGCACATGTGTGCTGTGCAGAGTATTTCCTTTCCTAAATGAAATGGAGAAAGGCAGTAATAAGCACAATAAAAGAAGGGCTTGAGAGATCAGAGACTATATCAACTGTGGTTGCTATTGAAACTTACTTAGATTAATTAAGATTTTTAGTGAAACAATAAAATGTGGGAGGAAAAGGCATAGAAAGTGACCTGGATACCAGAGTGTGGGAGGAGGGTGGAAGATGGCAGAGGGTGAGAGACAGAGAATCAAGGATGGGAAAAAAAGCAAAATATACAGGAAACAAGAAATGGAAAATGATTTGTCAATGATAACACGTATGTTGATGTGCTCGATTGGGCCAACATACAGTGTATTCTGGATGGAAAATCTCATTTTGTATAGGCACCAATTAGCACAATAAAGGAGAGGCTTAAGAGCCCAGAGAATAATTTACCTTAAAAGTTTTTTCAAAAAATTAAAAGTCATAGCAGGACAGAGAGAGACAGAGAGAAGTGGAGAGAAGGAGATAGAGGTAGCCCTACCCACTAGATTCTGGAGTGGGGAGTCTCAGTAGAAAAATCTCCATTTTTAGTCAAGGAAATCAATATCTATCTCGGAATGGGCCTGGCCTGAGTTTGTGCCTTTCCCACTAAAAATTATTCTAGAGGGGGAAGTCTCAGCAGAAAATCTTCATTTTGGGTCAAGAAAAGAAATACTTCACAGCTCAGTTCAGTACCCATCTCAGGATGGGCCTGGCTTGGGTTTGTCGCAAAAATCTCTCTTACCAAAAAAAAAAAAAAAAAAAACACACGTGGTTGGTACGCTGAGCTCTGGGGCTCCAAGAGCCAACTCCATCCTCTCACCAGCATGAAGTGGATGTTCAAGGAGGACCACTCGCTAGAACACAGCTGTGTGGAATCCGCGAAGATCTGAGCAAAAAATCCTGACCAGGTCCTGGTGATTGTGGGAAAAGTCTCAGGCTCTCAGATTGCTGACATTAACAGACGGAAGTACTTGGTTCCATTTGACATCACTGTGGCTCAATTCATGTGGATCATCAGGAAAAGGATCCAGTTTCCTTCTGAAAAGACGATCTTCCTGTATGTGGATAAGACAGTTCCACAGTCCAGCCTAACTATGGGACAGCTTTACGAGAAGGAAAAAGATGAAGATGGATTCTTGTGCAAGGCCTACGGGGGAGAGAACACTTTTTGCTTCTGAGGGCCAGTGCTGGGCTAGGTGCACTGTCCCTGCGTGTGTATCTTGTAAATAGCCAGCCATTTTCAGTTATTATACCAGAACCTCTTCACAAAGGCCTCATAGTGCATTTGTAGCTGGATTTATTTCTTAATATATTGAAAGGTTTTGTTTCCTTAGACTAGTAAATTATCATACAGAGTCTTGATTTTTTCTTTTGTGCACTGTCCTCACGCTATACTCTCCAGGGAACTTATTCCTCTAGGAATGATATTTAACGAAGATATTTCCATATTGAAGTAAGGTAGGTGCGGTATTAAAATGAAAGGGAAGGAGATGATGCATTCATTCTGAATTATGTTTGAAGTGTTAGATGGCTAAGTATTAAAAGCATCCACATTAAATCCTTAGCAATCACAACACTTGCTTCACTAGATTTTGCCAGCCACCAATCATATTGGACTGAGCTAATCTTTTCCTCTCTCTGAAACTATTAAGGTAAATAATTAACAATAAAACTTCTTCTTATAAAGGCAAAAAAAAAAAAGAGTTATTATAGTACCATTTATCATTACTAATCAGGGTGGAGTTCATTAAAATGTTTAAATATTTGTCCTGTGGATGAAGAGACTTCAAAAGTTTGTGGAAAAATTGAATTAAAGTATGAGTTTATTTTAGTGTAAAAAATTTATGTATAGTTTGAACCCCATATATAATATGTGTTCACCTAAACTTTTTGAAGGCCCCATTGTAGAATAGGTTTTATTTCTCTATATCCAGTTAAATAATTCCAGGGCACCTACTCTTTGTTAGGCACTAGTTCGAGGTCATGGCCATATAGTAGTAAACAAAGTTACTGCCCCATGGAGCTTACGTTCTAATGGATGTGGATTTTGTTGGGTCCATCCTTATACTTTTGCAAAAGTCCTGACTATTTTTAAGGTCTATCTTCTGTATAGCTCCCACTGAATGTTAAGGTTCAGATTAAAACTCTTATAGTGCCATTCTGATAGGGTTCCTCTGCTCTGTGTTCTCTTGAAAACTGTTCCATTTTAAGCTCTGCCTGAAACATAAACTCAGTTCAACCATAAATTTTTAAAACACGTTTTAAAAACATTTCCTGCTGTATGTTTTTTTTTAATAGGTTTTTGCTATAGGGCACATGTGTTCGCCAGAAAGAGAGAGACAGAGAGACAGAAAGTGAGAAATCACCCCTAGGGGGGATGGCCACGCCACAATCCCTTCTCCTCCATTCTCCTCTCAGGATCTTGGGCACGCACACACACATGCCCGGCATGAGTTTAAGCCACCAGGTCCAGGACTTGAACCACGGTCAACTACATGGAAATTCAATGACATAGCCATTACGCTAACTACTGGTCCCTGTATGGGTTTTCTGAAAAAACAAAACAAACAAACAAAAAACAAGAAATCTGTGTCCTGAAGGACACTTTGCCACATTCATCACGTGTAATAGGTTTATCACCACTGTGGATGTTCTGGTGAACCTGAAGACATGAACTCTTACTAAAGCCCTTACCACATACAAAACATATGTATGGTTTCTCTTTAGTATGAACTCTTTGGTGAGCTGGGAGATGTGAGATCTGACTGAAGCTCTTACCACACAGGCCACATTTATAGGGTTTCTCTCTAGTGTGGGTCCTTAGGTGAACATGAAAATATGAATTTCAAATGAAGCCTTTCCCGCATTATTCACATGGTATGGTTTGTCTCCTGTGTGGACTCTCCGATTGGCTTAGAGGTGTGAACTCCATCTGAAGCTCTTATCATACGAATCACATTTGTAGGGCTTCTCTCCAGTGTGAACTCACTGGTAGTCTTGAAGATGTGAACTCTTACTGAAGCCCTTACCATATGGCTCACATTTGTATGGCTTCTCTCCTGTGTGAACTCTAGTGCTCCTGAAGATGGGTTATCTGACTGAAGTCTTTACCACATATGTCACATTTGTAGGATTTCTCCCCTGTGTGGATTCTCTGATAGGAATGAAGATGGGAATTGCAGCTTAAGTTCTTACAACACACATTGAATTTGTACCGTTTTTCCCATGTGGACCCTTTGATGGCTTTGAAGATGGAAGTTGTAAATGAAGTTCTTATCACACACATTACATTTGTAGAGTTTACCTCCAGTGTGGATTCTCTGATGGGCTTGAAGATTTGAGACCTTACTGAATACTACATACCTCACATTTATACGATTTCTTTCCAGTGTAAACTCTGGTGACCAGAACTCTGATTAAATATCCTGTCACCCATGTACCATTTGTATCCTTTGTCTCCTGGGTGGATTCTCTGAGGAGCTTGAAGTTGTGAGGTATGACTGAAGCCTTTAACATGCACATCTCCTTTGGTGAAGACCACAACCATGTCCTTGAAGGCCAGAGATTTCTATAGCATCACACACACATAACCTCAATCTTATGATCAGCATCTGGGGCTGGAGAGGGCCAGTACTAAGCAGATGGAGAGGACAGGTGGGAAGAGGCTCTGAACTGTGAGGGCCTTGAGGCAACTTTAAGTCATTTCCTCCTCTTCTTCATCTTGCATGCCAACCCATAAACCAATTTCCCACAGTCACATCAAAAGCACACACAGCTCCAGACACTATGGCAAAATCGTAATGTGAGTGCCCTGCAAAGCTGGAAACCATATCACCAATAAGCAGATTTGGACCCCAGGGTTAGTCTAAAACCATGCTAGACACACACATGGGCACCAGGATCCTATGTAGCTTGAAGATTGGGGAAAAAGGATTGTAGCATGATGAATTCCTGTTGAGGATGCTTTTCTCACTCTCTCATGCATGCACAAGAGCTCTCTATCATGAAATTTTATAAAAGTATTTTTTAAAAGTAAAAAAGGGAAGGTGCAAAGATAGTACAGTGGGTCCTTCTTATTCAAGGGGATCTGTTCCAAGACCCCTCCAGTGGATGCCTGAAACTGAGGATTATAATGAACTCTACTATACCACATTTTTTACTACACATACATACCTATGATAAAGTTTAACTTATAAGTAAGGTACAGTAAGACATTAACAACAATAACTAATAAGAAAATTGGGTAATTGTAATAAAATACTGCAGATTTATATACACTGCATTCATGCTGAAAAAAAAAGGTCCCTGTATGGGTTTTCTGAAAAAACAAAACAAACAAACAAAAAACAAGAAATCTGTGTCCTGAAGGACACTTTGCCACATTCATCACGTGTAATAGGTTTATCACCACTGTGGATGTTCTGGTGAACCTGAAGACATGAACTCTTACTAAAGCCCTTACCACATACAAAACATATGTATGGTTTCTCTTTAGTATGAACTCTTTGGTGAGCTGGGAGATGTGAGATCTGACTGAAGCTCTTACCACACAGGCCACATTTATAGGGTTTCTCTCTAGTGTGGGTCCTTAGGTGAACATGAAAATATGAATTTCAAATGAAGCCTTTCCCGCATTATTCACATGGTATGGTTTGTCTCCTGTGTGGACTCTCCGATTGGCTTAGAGGTGTGAACTCCATCTGAAGCTCTTATCATACGAATCACATTTGTAGGGCTTCTCTCCAGTGTGAACTCACTGGTAGTCTTGAAGATGTGAACTCTTACTGAAGCCCTTACCATATGGCTCACATTTGTATGGCTTCTCTCCTGTGTGAACTCTAGTGCTCCTGAAGATGGGTTATCTGACTGAAGTCTTTACCACATATGTCACATTTGTAGGATTTCTCCCCTGTGTGGATTCTCTGATAGGAATGAAGATGGGAATTGCAGCTTAAGTTCTTACAACACACATTGAATTTGTACCGTTTTTCCCATGTGGACCCTTTGATGCCTTTGAAGATGGAAGTTGTAAATGAAGTTCTTATCACACACATTACATTTGTAGAGTTTACCTCCAGTGTGGATTCTCTGATGGGCTTGAAGATTTGAGACCTTACTGAATACTACATACCTCACATTTATACGATTTCTTTCCAGTGTAAACTCTGGTGACCAGAACTCTGATTAAATATCCTGTCACCCATGTACCATTTGTATGCTTTGTCTCCTGGGTGGATTCTCTGAGGAGCTTGAAGTTGTGAGGTCTGACTGAAGCCTTTAACATGCACATCTCCTTTGGTGAAGACCACAACCATGTCCTTGAAGGCCAGAGATTTCTACAGCATCACACACACATAACCTCAATCTTATGATCAGCATCTGGGGCTGGAGAGGGCCAGTACTAAGCAGATGGAGAGGACAGGTGGGAAGAGGCTCTGAACTGTGAGGGCCTTGAGGCAACTTTAAGTCATTTCCTCCTCTTCTTCATCTTGCATGCCAACCCATAAACCAATTTCCCACAGTCACATCAAAAGCACACACAGCTCCACCCACTATGGCAAAATCGTAATGTGAGTGCCCTGCAAAGCTGGAAACCATATCACCAATAAGCAGATTTGGACCCCAGGGTTAGTCTAAAACCATGCTAGACACACACATGGGCACCAGGATCCTATGTAGCTTGAAGATTGGGGAAAAAGGATTGTAGCATGATGAATTCCTGTTGAGGATGCTTTTCTCACTCTCTCATGCATGCACAAGAGCTCTCTATCATGAAATTTTATAAAAGTATTTTTTAAAAGTAAAAAAGGGAGGGTGCAAAGATAGTACAGTGGGTCCTTCTTATTCAAGGGGATCTGTTCCAAGACCCCTCCAGTGGATGCCTGAAACTGAGGATTATAATGAACTCTACTATACCACATTTTTTACTACACATACATACCTATGATAAAGTTTAACTTATAAGTAAGGTACAGTAAGACATTAACAACAATAACTAATAAGAAAATTGGGTAATTGTAATAAAATACTGCAGATTTATATACACTGCATTCATGCTGAAAAAAAAACCCACTCTGTCCATTGTAAAGATGTACAGTGATTAAATGTAAAAATTTTAAATGTATAAAAAAAGGGAGGGTCAGTAGGTGATGTGGAGGTAAAGGTGTGAATTCCCATATGGCTGACCACAGTGTGAATCTTGGATGCAGTGGCTTGAGAATCACGCAGGGCGCCTGTGTGTGCATGACCAAAATCCTGAGTGGAGAATGGAGCAGAAGGGATTGCGGTGTGGTCAACCCTCCTGTTTGTGTGTGTGTATGTAGGGGTGATTTCTCACTTTCCCTCTCTTTGTCTCTGCCTGTCTCCCTGGCAAGTGCATGCTCTCTATGGAAAAAACATGAGGGGAATAAAGTTTAAAAAAAATTTAAAAATAAAGGCGCAGCAGGTGGCATGGCAGCTAAGGCTTGGACTCCCACATGGCCAACTGCAGTTTAAACCCAGACTTAGTGACTTAAAACTCACACCAGACACATGTGTGTGTGCCCAAAATCCCAAGCGGGAATGAAGGAGAAGGAACTACAGTGTCGCCACCCCCTTGGGGGTGATTTCTCACCTTCCCTCTCTGTCTCTAGCAAGCACATGCACCCTATGGCAAAAACCTTTAAAAATTTTTTTAAATGGAGGGGGGAGGAAGGGAAAAAGGAAGAAAGGAAAAAACAAGGGAGGCAGAAAGGAAGGAAGGAAAATGGCCTTCCAGCATTCTGTGTAAAGTCCTAAATGACCTCCCTTTACGACCTCCCTTTATTACCATTAGTCATAGAGACTGACATTCTTTTTTCTTTTTTTGAGAGATTTCTGCCATAGGGCACATGTACTCCTTGAAAAGACAGAAAGTAAGAAATCACCTCCCTGGGGGATGGCCACACTGCAATCCCTTCTCCTCCAGTCTTTTCTCGAGATTTTGGGCACATACTCATGTTTCTGGCATGAATTTTAAGCCACTGGGTCTGAAACTCGAACCATGGTCAACTACAAGGGAGTCCAGCAACGTAACCATTATGCCATCTGCTGGTCCCTAGAGACTGCCATTCTAAGGGTTGAAGGGGAGTATGATGAACCTAGGTTGCCTAGGTTCAAAGTTCCAGTTCAGGTTCTTCTCTGTTGTTTTGATTTGGGGAGAGTAACTTTTATTCTTTATCTATCAGTGTCTCCATCTGTAAAATAGGAATAATAACAGTATCTTTGTCTGTTTTTAGGATTAAGATAATTAATTCAGATAAAGCCTTTAGAAATATTACCTAGCACTCAACATGTTAACAAATTTTATTTTACTTATTCATCAATTCGTCTATCTCATCCAACCTCCCTTTTGTTTATTCTACAAATATCTAAGTATTTACCAAGCAGAAACAAATTTGCAAATGAGTAAAAGAAATCTGTTCGGGACCAGCAGTTGGCGTACTGGCTATGTCACTGGACTCCCATGTAGTCGAGTCCCGGACCCGGTGGCTTAAACTCATGCTGGGCTCATGTGTGTGCGTGCCCAAGATCCCGAGAGGAGAGTGGAGGAGAAGGGATTGCGGCGTGGCCATCCCCCCTGGGTGGGTGATTTCTCGCTTTCTGTCTCTCTGCCTCGTCCTTGCCCTCCTAGCGCACGCCCCCTAAAAAAAAAAAAAAAAAAAAAACCTCTCCAGAAAGAGAAAAAAAAAAAATCTGTTCACCAGTGATAGGCAGTGTGTTAAATACTCTCATGCTGGGTCATGTCACTAGGAGCCAAAGGTCACCTCCTCCTTCTCTCTGCAGCCACCCCCACCGCCCCCCCCCAAGAAGTCAGGGTTGAGGAGGGAAAACCTGGTAGATGTCAGGATTATGACTCTGATGGAAAATAAATCACAGTGGACACCTCCAGGCACCAGAGAGAAGTGAGATACACAACCTATCACTCAAAAAAGAGAACCAGAGGGCACCAGGATGTCCTGAGAAACAGACTCGGGGAGGAACAGGGAACGCAGAAGCACAGACCAGCTCTCAGAAGCCTTAAGGACAGAGAGCTTCTTGGGAAAGAAGTAACATTGGCAACAACCCCCCACCTTGTACATGCCGGGCTTGGTTCTAAGTATTTTCACATACGTTTACCTCATGTAAATCTCACATCGCCCTCACCAGGTAGCCCCTATGTGGAACTGTATTATGTACAGGGGGAAGCAGAGACATTACATTAATTCTATCATGACTGTAAGGCCAGAGGCTGCTGAGTGTGTGGATTGTGCAGAAGCCAGGGAATTCAAGTGCCCAGGAAATTGCAAAGTAAATGTGGATAAATGGTGAGAAAAGTGAACAGAGGATGTCAAACTTTCTATTCTGTTGCTTGCACTCTACATGTGCCTGGATGCACCTAGCCCTCCGACATTACCTGGTGTAAGTTATTCTAAGATGCTAAGGACTCATAGAAGGAAAAGAAACCTCTGATCAGTCACACAACAAATAACAAAAATTTCCCACTTTTGTTGGTTTTAATTACTCATTTTGAAATGTGGGAGTTTTCTGGCAAAGGAAGAGAGCTACACTAAAATAGGGAAGAGAATAAAAGACTGTATTATAATTAGAAAAGAAGTCTAAATTATGTCTTGAAAATGTTTCTTCCCATAGTATAGCTTCAAAAAACTATCCATTTACATCCAGGCTGCTCTTGACATCACGAGTATTTTCAGTCAAATATCTGGCATTTTATTTTCCCATAAATACCTCCATATGTATCTCTAAATAAAAACACAGGTTGAGCTGGCAGGTGGTGTGGTGGTTAAAGTGCTAGACTCCCATATGGCTGATCCTGGTTCAAGTTCTGGACCTGATAATTTGCTTTTTCACTTTCCCTCTCTCTGTGTCTCTCTCTGGTGCTCTGTAGCAAATTAATAATGATAAGATTTTTTAAAGAATTATTTTATTTAACTTTACTTATTTACTTACTTATTTTTAAGTTGACCAGAGAGAGAGAGAGAGAGAAAGTGAGGAAGCAAGCTGCCAGGTCTGGGACTCGAATCGTGGTTGGCCATGTGCGAGTCTACCACCCTCAACCACCATGCCACCTGCTGACCCCTGTAATGATAAATAAAAATTTTAAAGTAGGATGGAGGGCCAGCAGATGGTGTAGCAATTACATTGCTGGATTCCCACATGGCCAACTGCGGTCTGAATTCCAAACCCGGTGGCTTGAAAATCACACTGAGCATGTGTGCATGCGTACCCAAGATCCCGGGAGAAGAATAGAGGAGAAGGGATTGTGGTGTGGTCATCCTGCCTGAGGGATGATTTCTCACTTTCCCTCTCACTGTCTCTGATTCTCTCTCCAGCAAGCACACACACCCTAACCCAAAGACCTCTAAAAAAATAATGGGGCTAACATCTATTTTTTAGGGTTATTTTAAAATCAGGTGAAATAACATGTATATAAACATTCTGCAATTCCCAAAGCAATGTACAACTTTAAAATAATACCAGAATAGTAAATATTACTATTGAAAATATGTTACTCAGTTTATCATCCTAATAGATCAAGAATATAATACAAATCTGTTATTTTAGTATTGATATGATAGTGTTGAGCCAATAAAATGGTGATAATATATTTAAAGATAACTTCCTTGAACCACAGTCAGCCTTGTGCAAATCCAGCACCTTTAACTACCATGCCACCTGCCAGACCTTACTTTTCTTTTTAATTGCTAGAATGCAATGGGCCCATGAGTAATTCAGCTCCCTTAACCACTATGGGAGTCACAAAGTTGGCTCCCATTTATTACTTTGTTGAGTCTATTGAGTCTCTTTTGTCTAGTCCATTCTCCTGCTCTTTTTACATGTACTTGTTCTACTGAATAAACTTGATCAGTTACCATGTAAGATGTCCTAAACCCTCTGGGTTTGTCTAATTGCATTTTTTAAAGAGAGGTTTTTGCTATAGGGCCTGGGCGCTTGCCAGAGAGACAGAGAGACAGAAAGCGAGAAATCACCCCCCAGGGGGGATGGCCATGCCACAATTCCTTCTCCTCCATTCTCCTCTCGGGATCTTGGGCATGCATGCACACATGCCAGCATAAGTTCAAACCACCAGGTCCGGGATTCAAACTGTGGTTGAATACATGGGAGTCCAGTGACATAGTCATTATGCTAACTGCTGGTCCCTCTAATTGCATTTTGTGGAGTTATTTAACTTTCCTTTTAATTGCTAAGTAATCTTTCATTAGCCCTGTGCATTACTGCATATTCTTTTTGAGTTTGTCAAAAATGCAAGGCACTGATCATTATTTACTCAGCAACT